AACAAAATAACTAGGTTTTTAATATGTAATTTCGTCCAAATTTGAACATAAAATTACTATAAAAGTAAACTGTGATTGTATATTTTTTAGATTTTTCGGTAAGAGAATTAACTACTTACGTGGAATCTTGTTTTAAATTTTCAATCCTTAGCTATAAAAACTGAACATTTTATAATTTATTAATTACGATGATTAATAATTTTCGAGATTTTGAAAAATTCTATCAAAATTCGATGTTAAAATGCTTATAAAAAAAAATTGTGCCTATGTATTTTTAATATTTTTCAACTGATATTGTAACAATATATCAGGAGCCTTGTATTAAATTTTTACACTTTTTGGCCCACCAAATAAAATTTTATTGACAATTATAAAAAAAAAACTAAAAAAATTGAAAACTGAAAATGTCCGTAAACGGCTCAAAAAGTGTCAAAATATTTTCAAAATTGTAGGGTGTATAGGAAATGCTAATATAAACATTCAGTGAAATTTTCATGTATCTACAGTAATTCGTTTTTTAATTACAACAAAAAAAGGAAATTGCCACATGAGAAATCGAGTGAATATCCAATGTTGTAAAAATTTGAATTTCAAAAGCTCATAAAAATTTAATTTGACTTTCCGGTAGAAATTTTTTTATTGATAAAGGTAGACAATCTTATGAGTAATCTTGTATTAGATTTTCAAATCTTAGATTTAAAAAGAAAAATTTTTACGAATTCTTAACTCAAAATAATTTGCTAATTTTCGTGATTTTTCCATATTTTGTCAATTTTTGAACTTTAAATGCTTATAAAAAAAAATTGTGACTAAGGATTTTTAATATTTTTCATCTGCCTTTGAAACAACATATTAGGAGCCTTCTATTAAATTTTCAAGCTTTCGCAACCAACAAATAAAATTTTATTGAAATTTTTAGAAAAAAAACTAAAAAAAAATGGAAAATGAAAATGTCCCTAAACAGTTCAAAATAAATCAAAATATTTTGAAAATGTTATCGTGTATAGGAAATGCTAATATAAACACTCAGTGAAATTTTCATGTATCTACATTCTACAGTTATTCGTTTTTAAATTACAACAAAATACGGAAATTGCTATATAAGAAATCGAGTAAATATTCAACGTTGTAAAAATTTGAATATCAAACGCTCATAAAAATTTAATTTGACTTTCTTATAAACATTTTTTTTTGATAAAGTTGTGCTTTTGAAAATAACTTAGAGGTTTAAATTTTGACCTCCCCAATGCACCAACGATATTCACTTTCCAATCGAACAAGATACTGAAGTCGAAAATCGAAGCATTATTTCGACTACTTATCGTGTACACAGATACAAAAAAAATAAAAAATAAAAAATAAAAAATAAAAAATAAAAAAACACACATCATTGTAAAATCAATACATTCATCGTTTCACTCAGAATCTAAAAAATAATAATAAGTTAATTGAAAATGTTCATATAACTTTTAACTTAACTGAGTTAAAAAAAAATTAGGTTAACTGTTAACTTTAAAAATTTAAAAATGTTTTCTATCAACTTAACTTAACTCAGTTCAAAATTATCATTAACTTGCTTGTACTTGCCTAGGCTTGAGTATATTATCATGATATGATTTACAATAATCCGATATTAATCGCAAAAATATTAATAATATATTTATTTTATATACATAGAGTACATATTATATACATTATTATTAGTACTTATTAGCATTTATTTATAATTACTTAATTCCCTTTTATTAAATTTTGTGTAACTCAAATTACATAAATATTTTTTTGTAGGGGTTGTTTTTGGGGCAAATTTTTTCTTTACTACACCTATACATATAATGAAATTATATTATTTTGACTAAATTAAATCTTAGAAAATGAAAAACTGTATTTGTGTTTATATTATTTGGTTTGAAATTAAATTTTGTTTTGACAGTATAATGGCCAATTATTGTTTTAGAAAAATGTCTGGTTATATATTATATCGTAATATTGTATTCAAAACTCTTCAATGTAGATGAATTTATTTTTCAATTGTTTAGACTATAGTGTATTCAATATTTAAATATATTACATATTGCATTAAGTACCTACATAACATCATTAAAACATGATTTACTATTTATTATTATATTGTTAACAGTGATATTACGTACCGAAACATAAAAATGAATACATTATCCAGGTATATGTCAACTTCATTGTCAATGGTCAGCGGTGATTAAAGCAAATATATTTAAAAATATAAAGCTAACCATAAATGTTTATACATTAATTATAGAAAATAAACATCACTGTCATCACTATACACTAAAAAATATTTTATTGTACATTTTCTAACATTTAGTTAGAGCAAAACATTCTATATTAAACACGGACAATATCTGCAGTAGTTTCATAATGTTTACTACAGCACTACAGTTCTATACAGATAATATCGGGTCTTCTCGAAATCTAAACTACTATATTGCATGGATGCTGAAAATATGTAGTTCGTTTGTTATTGTTTAAGTACATTTTACTATATTAGGCCACCTCATGACCGAACGTCATACTACTACGTAGATAGACGGCAATGAAAAAATTATGAGTTACTAACTTGTTTTAAAATTGATTTTTAGATTCTACCACTACGTCAAATACATACCTACACCTAATGGTTTTTCGACGTACCTACCTAACGTAAATACTTGCCAACTTATTCAGACTAATAACGACTAATATATTTATGTATAATATTTCATGCAGACTATATTATTATATTATATAAACACATTATGTACAATTATTGTATACTTAAATAAATGTATAATAATGATTATACATACATCGTTTGATTATTTGTTATATCTAAGAATCATTATATTATGCTGTACAAGGACACAAAGTTTTCTTAAATTACAATCAGTCGTGCAGAATATGCAAAATTTAGAATCAATTTATATTCCTTTAAAGGAATAATTATTATATAGTATTTAAATTATTAATACACTATTTAAATTTTACAGTATCACTGATGATCTTCTTCTTTATCATGTAACTTAGCTGGCATTAGGCTGCAGGCGTATCACATTGTCTTGTGTTGAGTTTGTGTATCTATTTAAAAAGCAACTTATATAATTCAAATTTCAACAATTAAAATAAATTAGCAACACATTTTTCTATCAGAACATGTATAACACCTTTGATAGATGTTTCTAGTACATATCTCAAATGGTATTATTTTCTTCCGATGTATTTCAATATTTTTACAATCCGGTATACTACCTACGACGTAGTAAATATACTAGTTAGTTAGGCCAGTGGTTTTGGTTATTTTTCCAATATCTTATTTTATCTATAACTACACAGCACTTCTTAACACTATTATTTGATTGTTTTGATCATAAAATATAAAATACGAGTCTAAAATTATATCCAATCATAATAACTAGTTTATTTACAGTGCAATAAAATACCTTTGAAATCCCTATGGTGAAATTTCATGAAATATTACATTTAATCATGTACATTTAAAATATCCACAGTATATAGGTCTGTAAAATTTGAATACTTTTAATTTTTGATTTGAATGATATAAAATCATTGTATTCGAAACTCGATTCTGAGCAAACAGTGAACATGTAGTATGAATCGTCTATATCAGAGTATATTTTATGACATGGTTTCAATTAAAGTAATTTATTTTCTTATTAATAATACAATAAGTTGAATCGGCAAGAATTTTAAAAAAATAATATAAAAATCGAAATTTTCGTATGCTCTTTATAATAGCTGAAAAATGTCAAAATATTTTGAAAATTATAATATAGTGTATTGCAAATTTTAATACAAACACTCAACACAAATTTCATGAATCTACAGTTTGAAGTTACCAAAAAACATGATTTAGTTAAACAGTGTTTTTGCTTACAAAATCATACTTTCCTTAAATTCTATTAAGAATTTTCAATTTTCATTTCTTAAAAGTATAAACTAGATTCACTTGTCCACATAAAAGATACTGAAGTAGAAAATCAAAGCATATTTTCTACCAGAAAAACTGTTAAAAAAAAAAAAAAACAAAAAATAATAACACACATTTTTTATGTGGTCTGTATCAACAAATAAGAATATTAAACTATATATTTAAAAAATACATTATATGTATGCTTCCTTAAATATGTTACTTTTGAAGCAGAAGTTGTCATTAAAAAATCCATGTCTAATTTAATTACAACAATTGATAAAGTAATATTAAGACTATTTAGTAGTTATATCAAATACAATGGACAATAGGTACCTAGTAGTAACTATAAAACAATTAATATACGAAGCAAAATTGGTATATGATAAAAGCTGTTCAATTTTTATATGTGTCAATTAAATATATAATGCTTAGGTACTCACTATGTATTAAGAAACACGTATCCATTATTTTAAATTTAAATGGACAGTGGTAAGAACTGTCAAAAATTATTACACATAAGTTTAAACTTACTTATATACAAATATTGATTTTAATTACAAATAAAAAAAATATTTTTATGTATTACAATTAATATCCTATTGTTTTTAATTATATTTGTTAAACAGTTCACGAATCCATGGAATGTGATGCTTTATTTTTGTAAAAACAGCGATTGAATTATTTGTATTTGAGTCTTTATTACTCATTACTCCGGTTAAATAAGAAGAATTAGAGTGTAAAAAGCATAAGCCTGCGCCGCTATCTCCACTTCCCACTCCTTGTAATGAAACTAAAAATATGTTTTCAAAATAAGTCACTAATTAATAGTAATTAATAATCATACGTCTGTTATTGGGTAGGTACTGGTTCAATATAGATTTACTTTGGATATTAATTACGGAGGCAAATTACCACATAATAGGTATTTGTGATAATATAGTACTGATAACATAGCAATTAATATGGTTTGAAACTATGAAAGTAGGTAAGTATACTATTTAATGGTAATAGGTACAAAATCATAATAAATTATTTTTATGGTATTACCAAAATCCTATTGTTCTTGTTCATATTTGTTATACAGTCCACGGATCCATTGAATGTGATGCTTTACTTCTGTAAAAACGGCGATTGAATTATCTGTACTTGTATCCTTCGTACTGACTACCCCGGTTAAATAATAAGATTTAGAGTGTAAAAAGCATAAGCCTGCACCACTATCTCCTTGACTAACCCCTTGTCCTGAAATTAAATTATATATTTTCTACATTAGACACAAACATAATTGATTGGACCGGGTACAAAAAATATTATTAAGCAAGCCCGGACACCAGAAATACATCGAGCGCACCACTAATCACCTACCGACTCGTGTATGGTGCGTAGTGGTGGAGTAACTCAATCGGTTGCGGTCGATGTCGCCTCGCGAGTACCGACATGCACGCGGTATGATAATGATGTGTATGTGTGTATATGTCGCATCCACTTAGTGAAATCGCTCATTTCATGAAGTGGATGTCCACTTCATGAAATGTATCCATTTAGTGAAAATAACGTTTTACTACACTATATGGACAATTTATTGACCTTTTCATGAAGTGGATGAAATTAATTTTATCCACATTCTGTAATATTACTATTATATACGAGTTAGGTTATTTACGAGTTTGGTATTGGGTAATTGTACGATTTGCACTAGGTAAATGTGGATAATATGATAATAATTAAATAATATAATATAGGTAACCTTAAATAATGAAGTATAAAAATTAAATTAAAAGTTTTCTTAAACTTTATTTTATATTTTATATTATTTATTTTTACATGGTTCAGAGTTATGGCAACGACTATTGCACAACATTTTCTTTAAAAACAGACAGATCTTGATTTTTGACATGGGCTTTGAATTACATGAACAAGAAGAAAAGCCTTGTCCACCTGTTGTGACTTTAACAGTCTCTCGAATAGTTAGCACTTTGTCCAACAAAACCTCGTCACTCGTTAAAAACTTCTCACATTTTTTTAAGGAATCTCCTCCTTACCATCCTTTAATCATTTCATGTTTAGTCCCTAACTCAAACAGTTTATTCTTTTTTTCAACAACTAAACATAAAATATTTGGTGGATCTGTAGGCTCTTTGTCGACTTTTGGAATAGCCATTACCACACAATTGTCAACTGGATGTCAGGATCATACATTATCTGTATATTACTATGTATCTGTTCAATCATATTCAATTATTTGATATCTTATCTTGAAATTACCTGATCGACTGACGGACCAGTTTATACAGTATACAAGTTACAAATTATATCAAGCAACTTTTATATTTATTTTAGAGCCAATTAGGTACCTAGTGCAATTCGAACAATTACCCAATACCAAATGTAAAACATCAAGATGTGCCTGTTTTAAAAAAAAAAATACAAAATAAAGTTTAAGAAAACTTTTAATTTAATTTTTATACTTCATTATTTTAGGTTACCTATATTATATTATTTAATTATTATCATATTATACACAATTACCTAGTGCAAATCGTTCAATACCAATACCAAAAATACTCATGTATAATAGTAATACTATTACAGAATGTGGATAAAATGAATTTCATCCACTTCATGGAAAGGTCAACAAATTGTCCATATAGTGTAGTAAAATGTCATTTTCACTAAATGGATACATTTCATGAAGTGGACATCCACTTCATGAAATGAGCGATTTCACTAAGTGGATGCGACATATATATATATTTGTATAGTTAATACAATTATTGTAAAATGGGATACATTAATAGTTAATCATCATTTTTACAAGTGTTTATCTTCAATATTTAGTGTTTAATGAGTTTAAGTAACGTTTGTTAAGAAAATTCGATGATTTCACGGTATTAATGTTTAAATATTTTTTTACCCATTGTAGAATTAGAACCAGCACAAAATTTATCAACAGTTACAAAATTTTCAAATCCGTTTGTATACATATTCTGGCAGGAATCACGGTCGATGTATGGCAAAGATGCTTCTAATAATACAGGACTTGAAGTGCCTTTTTCAGTTTTTCCCCAACCGACGATCTGTAAAAGTATAAAACAGTTTTATAATGTATAATTATAATTATCGTGTAATATATATAATTTTTTTTATGTGTGTGTTCTTAATGTGTACAATTAGTTTAATAAAATCTGACTGATCAAAGTTTTTCCATTTTTATATTGAGAATAATGTTTAATGGTTTTATAATTTGAATTTAAAGATTTTTTGGATTCTGAATGAAACAATGAATGTTTTGATTTTACAATGATATGTGTTTTATTTATTTTTTTGTGTCTGTCATCACCTTTTAGGACAGTAAAAGTACTTGGATTTTGAACAGTATCTTTTCTGATAGAAAAGTGAATCTAGTTGGTACTTTGGGGAGGTCAAAAGTAAAATTTTTCCAGTAGTTTTCAAACGCACTGAGAAAAAAAAAAGAAAAATTAAGGAAAAACGGGAATTTTTAAGCAAAATCTGTTTTCGAGAAAATCGATTTTGGTTTTTTGTGTAACCCTAAAACAAATTACCGTAGATACATTAAATTTTGATTGAATGTTTAAATTCGCATATTTTATACACCATACCGTTTTTAAAATATTTTGACTTATTTTGAGCTGTTTAATGACATTTTTCAGTTTTCATTTTTTTTAGTTTTTTTTTTCTATAAATTTCAATTAAGTTTTATCTGTATGGACAAAAGGTGTAAAAATGTAATACAAGGCTCCTAATATATTGTTACAATATCAGTTGAAAAATATTAAAAATACATATGCATGGTTTATTTTTATAGTCATTTTAATTTCAAATTTGGACGAAATTACATATTAAAAACCTAGAATAACTATTTTAGTTATTTTGTTGTGGTTGCAGTATAATATTATTCGTGGGAACTTGAAACTTCTAAAGTACACTATTATATATCTATGATTATATCAGGGTTTGTTGTTGATGTATATAACGCCTTATAAGTACCTAATGGATATTGTGATTTGATTAATTTGGAATTTATTAAAGGTACCTATTATAGGTCAATTTTTTTAATACCATAGATAAGTATATAATATAATATGTCTTACACCTCGACTGACATACCGTCTCCGCTCAGAATCGTTTTTCTTATTCAATGATATTATATCATTGAATTCAAATTTAACACCTTCCATTACAGTGACCCACTTTTCTAATTAAATCACGATTGAACTTTTTAAGTAATACTACAAACAGACCTTTCCTCGAACTCCATTGACGACATTGTATTTACCATTCCAATCGATACAAACAGGTGCAACACCATTACTAAAGGAAACTCTGTCTTTTAACACAATAATAGCTATATCTGTAGCATGATACCCAGAAGGTCCATAATAATCATCATTCAGGTGAATCATTTCTACCTGTACAATTGTTTTAATTTATATATTTAGTATTATTTTTAGTATTTTGAATTATTAATAACTTACATTAAATATTTTTGTAAAATCATTGTCAATAACTGCAAAATTTCTAGCAAATTTTCCAACAGCTATTTTGTATAGATCATCATTTACTGATATTCTATCAGAAATCATACCTTTTTCCCAAAAACAATGAGCCACTGAAAATTATATTAATTTAATTTTCATTCTTGCTTAAATTTTTTGCACAAAAATTTTACCAGAAACGACTAAATTCGGAGCAATAATTGATCCTCCACAAAACAAGTCATAATTGGAATTTATTTTATTTAATTTGTATATTCCAACATTCCAAGGTGCCGATCCAATATATGCTTTATGCCCAAAGTTAATCAGTATTTGGTTTCCGATGTATACTCTACCGCAAGCTAAAATAATATTTGAATATAATTATACATGCTAGTAATAAATTTATAAATATCTAATAATACCTATAGAATAGACATAAAGTTGATTGTTCAAAAATGTTAATCAAACGTGAGACGATTATACGAGTATGTATGGTTACATACCATTATTATTAAATTTTAAATATGATAAATTTTGTAAAAATCTGATCTTTTTATAAACAACTGAACATTTTATAATTTTTTAATTCCAACGATTGATATTTTTCGAGATTTTGATAAATTTTGTCAAAATTCCAACTTTAAATGCTTATAAAAAAAAATTGTGCATATGTATTTTTAATATTTTTCAACTGATATTGTAACAATATATTATTAGCCTTGTATTACATTTTTACACTTTTTGGCCCAACAGATAAAACTTTATTGAAATTTATAGAAAAATAAACAAAAAAAATTGAAAACTGAAAATGTCCGTAAACAGCTCCAAAAGAGTCAAAATATTTTCAAAATTGTATAGTGTATAGGAAATGCTAATATAAACATTCAGTGAAAGTTTCATGTATCTACAGTCATTCGTTTTTTAATTACAATAAAATAAGGAAATCGTTACATGAGAAATCGAGTTAATATGAATTTTAAACACTCATAAAAATTTAATTTGAGTTTCTTGTAAAAATTTTTTTTTGTTGATAAAGGTGGACAAACTTATGAGGAATCTTGTATTACATTTTCAAATCTTAGATTTAAAAAGAAAATTGTTTATGAATTTCTAATTTTCGTCATTTTTACGTATTTTGTCAATATTTGAACTTTAAATGCTTATAAAAAAAATTGTGACTTTAGATTTTTAATATTTTTCAACTGATATTGTAACAATATATTAGGAGCCTTGTATTAATTTTTTACACTTTTTGTCCATACAGATAAAACTTTATTGAAATTTATGGAAAAAAAAACTAAAAAAAATGGAAACTGAAAAATGTCAGTAAACAGCTCAAAATATTTAGAAAATGGTATCGTGTATAGAAAATGCAAATATATACGACCAGTGAAAACTGTACGTACATATAATCATTTGTTTTAGAGTTACGCCAAAAACCAAAATTGATTTTGTGGAAAACCAATTTTGCGTATAAACTGCCGTTTTTCCTTAATTTTTATGTTGTTTTTTCCTTCGCTTTTGAAAACTAATGAAATTTTACTTTTGACCCCCCAAAGTACCAACTAGATTCACTTTCTTTTCAGAAAAGATACTGTTGAAGAAAATCTAAGCACTTTTACTGTCCTAAAAGGTGATGACAGACACAAAAAAAAAATTTAAAAAAAAAAACACACAAATCAGAATTTGAGTAATTGCACTATTAAAGAGAAAAATGGGGGTGAGTAATACAAAATTACGACTATTTAAAAATGTACATCAAACAATTATACCTAACCCAATGATTATTTGTTCTTCCTTAATTGTATTATTTATAATACAAACAAAATCATTTTTAGGTAGTAAAAGTTAAATAAATTAGAGACTCTTGTTTTTATGACAAAAAAAAAAATTACATGGATTGCATCTATATAGTTGTTTATTCCACGTCCCATTAGACTGACAAAGTAATTCAAGCGGATTCTCATCTTGTCCATTTGGTGCAGTATATGTTGGTTTACATGATATTGTTGCTGTTGTATTGAGTAATGAATTTGAACAATTAGCATACTCTCCATTATGACTACATTTAATATCCAAACTATCTGATTTTAGAGGTGGGCACATTTCTATAAATGCAAATAAATTATAATTAAACATAACTATACTTTGGACTTTTTGTATAGGTATAGAAATAAGTAATTATTACGGCATTGGAATTACTATACAAAAACTTACCTAAACATAATATATCTTTGATTGATAACCATTTTCCTTTTTCAACACAAACCCTTAAACCATAAGGATAAACCTTGTGATATCCAACTTCACAGTTCTCAATAACAGTATCATGATAATTAATTAATGTCCCGTGAGATAAAATATCATTAGAACCTACATAAGAATATACAACTCCTTTGACAGTTGGTAAAGTACACGAAATCGCTGTAGTAAATTAGTAAAATATATATAAATTAGAGACTTATATATTTATACTATGAAAAAAAAACAATTACCTGGATTGCATCTAATAATTAGTTGTTTATTCCACTTCCCATTAGATTGACAATATAATTCTTCTTTTTCATTTTGTGTAGTGTATGGTGGCTTACATGATGGTGTGGCTATTGTATCTGGCATCGATGTATTAGAACAATCAGCATACTTATCATAAATAGTACATTTAATATCTAAAGTATCTGATAGTAAAGGTGGACACATTTCTATAAACATAAACAAACATCCGACTTATAATATTTAAATAAGTATTATTTTAAATTTCAAATTACATATCAAAATAAGTACAGGTAGTTCTAAAGTTATGCAATCAATCTTTCAACATTTTATTCTTGAATATTTTATGCAAAATAGTCAAGTTTATTTGATTTACAACGATTTTGAAATGCTTCCCGTGTTAAGCAACTGGGTTGATCACGAGTTACTGTTTGTTGCATTTCAACGTGTAGGCTTTCATTACTCACATTACCATATAAGTCCTATTTACCTAATAGATCTAAATTTACCAGACTACAAGTTTTCTGTTCAATAACTACGTTAGTCCCATCTGGCTCACCCTAAGAAGGTCATTTATCTCCACTATTACACCCTATATTTACTAACGATATCTCCTCAGCCCTATTAAAAAGTTAATTATCGTTATTTTATTATGATAAAAATATTTATATTTGTGTTTTGACACTTCAAGATTGTTATATTTAAATAAAAATGAATTGTACAATAACATATAACATAATGTAAAAAAAGTAATACTCTTATTAAAGCCAATAACCTTAACCAATGAGGGAAAAAACAATTTTAATTTTGAACAACATATATAAAGCACTAGTAGAAAAACCCTAAATGTCTAAGGATTTATTAAACAGTATTCATCTGTTTCAATTTAAATATCAACGATCATGCATACTTCTACACCACGCATTTATTAAATCAATATTGTATGGTGATTATATGGTGACCAATGGCCATACACTAATTTTTGTATTGATAATATCGAACGTATGTAGAATCATTTTTAGAAATGTGTATCTTATAAACTTATTATACCCGTAGAGAGTATAAACCCATTAATAAAATCCAATCAGATCAAACTTAAATTTTCAAATAGCCCTTTCACTACTTTGCGAAATATCATACATACTTTTAAAAATGATTTCACTCCTAAATTCCATCTCTTTTAATGTTCCTTCTTACTAGAGCCACTCAATTTCATTTTTTTATATAGGTACCGTCATACTGCACAAATTATCTCACTAACTCTCCGTTTCCAAGAGCGTTGTCCCTTTACAAAACTAGAACACCAATATCGACTTTTTCTTCCCACCTCTATTCAGAATTTTAAATTTGCATTGTGCTATCTAAATCTAAGCCAATCAAGTTAATTTTATCCTATAATTAATTATAAGCTTAATTCTGTTTTTATATTCTTATTCTATATTTATTTGCTTTAATGCAATAATAGCCATATCTATTATATAACTAACCGGTGACACTGGGATTTAGCCCGTTTTTATTCATATAATATATTATCTATTTGAAGAAAATCTCTATATTATATAAAAATGGACCCTAATCCTTTGTTATGGCATCACGCGTGAACGGCTGGATCGATTTCGGTAATTCTTTTTTTGTTGTGTTCAGGACAAGTTCATATAAAAGAATATTTTAGGAAAAGCAACCGGAAAGTAGGAAATCTTGGAGTCAATAATAGAACAATGGTGATAGAAGTATAGATAATAATAGTAATAATGATAATATTAATAATAGTATCAATTGTGGTAATAGTAAATAATTATTATAATTACAAAACTTACTGAAACATAATTTATCAGAGGTTGATAACCATTTTCCATTTTCATGACAAAGCCTAAGACCATAAGGATAGGCCTTGTGATATCCAACTTCACATTTCTCAATAACAGTTAGACGATGATTAATTAATGTCCCGTGAGACAAAGTTTCATTAGAATCTTCATAAGAATATACAACTCCTTCGACAGTTGGTAAAATGCATGAATTAATTTTGGCCAGACCATCCTAAATGTTAAAAAGGTGGGTAAGTGGATGTCGCTCTGCTATACAGTAGGTTACAAGTGGGTCACTGTAATAAATGGTGTTAAATTTGAATTCAATGATATTATAATATCATTGTATAAGAAAAACGATTCTGAGCGAAGACGGTCAGTCAGCCTATGATATTACTAAGTATATTTGATGATATTGTTGTGAATAAAGTAATTTATATATATAACCTATTTACGTGGAACCTTGTTTTAAATTTTCAATCCTTGGCTATAAAAGTTGAACATTTTATAAATTTTCAACCCAAAATAATTATTAAATATTAAATTTGATAAATTTTGTCAAAATTCGAACTTTAAATACTTATAAAAAAAAATTGTGCATATGTATTTTTTATATTTTTCAACTGCTATTGTTACAATATACCAGGAGCCTTGAACTAAATTTTCAAGCTTTTTGGCCCAACAGATAAAACTTTATTGAAATTTATAGAAAAATAAACTAAAAAAATTGAAAACTGACAAAGTCTGTAAACAGTTGAAAACAAATGAAAATATTTTTAAAATTTTATCGTTTATAGAAAATGCAAATATATACGACCAGTGAAAATTGCACGTACATACAATCATTTGTTTTAGAGTTACGCCAAAAACCAAAATTGATTTTGTGGAAAACCGATTTTGCGTAAAAACTGCCGTTTTCCTTCATTTTTATGTTGTTTTTCCCTTCGCTTTTGAAAACTAATGAAATTTTACTTTTCACCCCACCCCCCAAAAAAATACCATTCAGCCTCACTTCCTATCAGAAAAGATACTGTTGAAGAAAATCCAAGCACTTTTACTGTCTTAAAAGGTGATAACTGCAGACACAAAAAAAAATTTAACTAAATAAAAAATAAAAAAATAAATACCCATCATTGTAAAATCAATTCATTCATCGTTCCACTCAGAATCTAAAATATTTATTCTTTCTAAAATATCTTAGTTTTGAATCAAAAGTTGTCATTAAAAATAAACAAAGCCAATTTACGTACGTATTTGTTGAATAGTCCAAGAATCCATTGAATGTGATGCTTTACTTCTGTAAAAACAGCGATTGAACTATTTGTATTTGGATCCTTAATACTGACTATTCCGGTTAAGTAATACGAATTAGAGTGTACAAAGCATAAACCTGCACCACTATCTCCTTTACTCACCCCTTGTCCTGAAATTAAAAATATATTATGAATAGTACAATACATAATATTATGTCAGTGGAATTTGTGATGAAAATAATTGTTAGCTGATAATTCTATGAATTTCAAACCATAATTATTATTAATAACATAATTGCGAATTAAAATTATATAGTGATGTTACCATTTTATTATCATAAATGAAACACTCATCAACTACTTCCAAAAAAAATGTAGACTAAGGTCATCATCAGCTATTTGGTTCCTACAGTCGTATACTATTCGGCTATTATACAAGTACAATATAGTGTATTATAGCCTCATATTTTATGTAAGTTACTAACATAAATATGATTTGAGAATTGAATTTCACTGTGGTAACAAAACATCTTGATTGTTATAACGGCGTATCAACGACATAAATGGTGTATTATAACTACTATGCCAATAATATAATGCTTCAATTTAATAAAAGGATTATTGCCCATATACACCGTATTATAATTTATTTGCATCAAATCGTTTAGCGCTGAAAATTAAAGTTTAGATTGCACTAGGGTAGGTATAACTATTTTGTGAGTCGATGATAACTTTACTTACAATTCTGAATTATACTTTATTACGTTATAGTATAAATCAATGAGGTCTACCAGGGATGGAACTAAAACGATAATCTTATGCGGTCTTTTTTTTTTCCATCATGCAGCACTACATGGGAGCCGAACTGTTTATCACATTGCTTAGCTCCAAAATGTTACGCAGTCTAACGACTTATACCTCAACATAATTTTACAGTGCCAGCCATTTAACTTTTTGATACTACGGATCATTATAACTTATAAAGTACGTAGTAATGCGTATAGCCTTATCGTGTAGATCGACAAAGTGGCGCCTAACGTACGTCCGCTATGTACATGTATACTCTGTCCCAAAAGAGAATAATCACTATTCGCGCATCACGAATGATTCGATTGGTGCGTCGAGAACCACGTGATCACGTTAACACGGGGAAGTTGGTGGGAGATGCGCAACATTGACGCAAACCGGTCGGCCGACTGATTATTCTCTTTTGTGACAGAGTATAGTTTGTTGGCCATGTACCAGTTGCCAACAAAAGTACCTTTTTTTTATACCGATTCCCCCCAAACTACCTATAGCAAAATGTACCAGTTGCCCTCATATGTAAATACATATATACGATTAAAATATATAGCCCGTAAAATAGGGGAGGTAAATATACAAATAATAATTATAACAAAACATAGTTCAAAATATTATATCTAATTTATTTACTATTATTTTTTTTGACAAAATATAACATTGAATGTCACATAATTATAAATTTATTTTTTTATTGACTATTGTATTCATATTATTTTGTTAGTAATTATTATTTATCACAAAATACAATATTATAGGTACATATTCCAAGCATATACATTTTTTTTCTATCATTTTATACTGTTTTAAATAATTTTATTTATTATTTGTATATTTACCTCCCCTATTTTACGGGCTATATATTATAATCGTGTATATAGTATATATTAACATGTAACTGGCGACTGGTACATTTAGTTGGGTGCAACTGGTACATTTGGTTGAGGGCAACTGGTATATTTTTAAAATCCCGATAACAGCCGTGGGGGGCAACTGCTCAACACCCAGTTTGTTTGCTAGATTAGTAAATATATATTTTGTATTTCTATAGTTAATAAAATTATTGTAAAATGGGATACATTAATATTTAATCTTCATTTTTAAAAGTGTTTATCTTCAATATTTAGTGTTTAATGAGTTTAAGTTAGGTTTGTTAAAAAAAATACGACGATTTCACAGTATTAATGTTTAAATATTGTATTACCCAATGCTGAACCGGCACAACATTTATCAACAGTCACAAATGATTCAAACCCGTTTGTATACATATCTCTACAAGATCTATGGTCGATGAATGGTAAAGATGCTTCTAACAAAACAGGACTTGCAATGCCTTTTTCCGTTTTTCCCCAACCAACGATCTGTAAGAGTATGAAACGGTTAGGTTTATAGGTAATGTATAATTATAACTATCGTATAATATTTATGAACGGGTATGTGCCTATGTGTAAAAAGGTTTATATTTATTTTAAAATCTAGTACAAGATTTTTTATATATTTCAAACAAATTTTTTATGATATTCTTTATATTATTTTGACATAGAGTTTTCAACCGTAAAAATTGACGAATTCTAAACAAACGATTTTCTTAATGTGTTGTAATTCAACAATAAAATCATAGACCTTTAAAATTTAATACATACCTAGTTAATTATAAATTAACAGTTTTTATAAATATAGTTAGAAAAAATAAAGATCCTTACTCATGTTTCTTTTGTTATAAGCATGAACTTAGCATTACAATATGCACTTTACATACATATGGATAGTGATATGGATAATAATTAACTGTAAATAAATCAACATTTTAATATTCAAATAATACTATAAACCAACCTTTCCTTGATCTCCATTGGATACATTGTATCTACCATTCCAATCGATACAAACAGGTGCAACACCATTATTAAATGAAACTCTGTTTTGTAACACAATAATAGCTATATCTTCAGCATGAAACCCAATTGGTCCATAGTAACCTTCTTTCAGGTAAATCATTTCCACCTGTTTATTGTATTAACTTCTATTATACTTATCAAACCAAAATTATTCTTGTTATTTTTAATTATTAATAACTTACATCAATAATTTTAGTAAAGTCATTGTCAATTACAGTAATGTCTCTATCATATTTTCCAACAGCAATTTTGTATAGACCATCATTTACTGATATTCTATTAAAAATCATACCTTTTAGCCAAAAACAATGAGCCGCTAAAAATTATATTAATTTAATTTTCCTTCTTGCATAAATTGGTTATACAAAGTTTTTACCAGAAACGACTAAATTTGGAGAAATGATTGATCCTCCACAAATTAAGTCATAATTTGAATTTATTTTATTTAATCTATATATTCCAACATTCCAAGGTGCAGTCCCAACAAGTGCTTTTTCTCCATTGCTGATCAATACTTGGTTTAGGGTATATACTCTACCGCAATCTAAAATACTACTTGAATATAAACATATACGATAATAATTTATAGTTAACAATACATATAGAATAGACATAATGATGATTGTTTAAATAATATGTTGTTTATGAGTCACCCAATGATTATTTCATATTTGTACTTACTTAAAATACAAACAAATTCATTTAAATACAGTAAAATTTAAATAAATTAGTAAAGTATATTATATAAACTAGAGAATTGTGTTAAAATAAAATTACATGGATTGCATCTATATAGTTGTTTATTCCACGTCCCATTAGACTGACAAAGTAATTCAAATGGAGTATCATCTTGTCCATTTGGAGCAGTATATCTTGGCTTACATGATATTGTTGCTGTTGTATTGGGTATCAACGAATTTGAACAATTAGAATACTCTCCATTATGACTACATTTAATATCCAAACTATCTGATTTTAGAGGTGGGCACATTTCTATAATTGTAAATAAAGTTTAATCAAACATAAAGACAATTTGGACTTTTAAAATTTGATTGAATAAGTAGGTACCTAATTATTACAACATTCAATTACTGTATAAAACTTACTAAAACACAATTTCTCAGAATTTGATAACCATTTTTCATTTCCCTGACAAACTCTAAAACTATTGGGATAGGCCTGATGGTATCCAACTTCACAGTTTTCAATAACAGTAATAAGATATTTAATTAATGTCCCGTGTGATAAAATGGCATTAGAACCTTCATAAGAATATACCACTCCTTCGACTGTTGGTAAAACGCAAGGACTACCTGTGACCTATTAAAACAATTATCGTTAAAAATATATATTATAAATATATATTATTTTTAATATAATATTATGTTGTTTGAAGAAGTAGTTTTCATAAACAAAAAAAAAATGAATACAATAATTCAAAATTAAAATTGTTAAATAAAGAATAACATATTTACTTACATGTTTGAAATTAAACAGTCCACGAATCCATTGAAGATGTTCATTAATGTCTGTAAAACCTAATATTGAACTGTTTTTTACAGTATCCTTGATACTTAAAACTCCAGATAAAAAATAAGAATTTGAGTGTAAAAATGCTATGCCCGCTCCACTATCTTCAACACTTACTCCTTGTCCTGAAACTAGAGATATTTTATACGTAACAATACACAAATTAATAGTCTTCTATACTACTATAGATTCTAATGAACACTTTATCCTAAATTTATTAAAGGCATTTACATTCAGTAATTGTTGCTGTTGAGTAGCTATTGTATTATTCGTAATTGGCCTTTCGTATTAATAATAACTTGCAACTAATTTTTCTATGAACAGCTTGTTGTGGTGGTAATATTTTAAAATTTGTACTAGTGAAACAGAGGAATCTCGTACTCAGTCGCATGCACATATCAGACTATAATTTTGTGATCGCGAAAAAATGTTTATTTTTCACTTATAATTAGATAACTCTAATTCCAACAATACATCGCAATAATAATTACCTCTATTTGCATTTGACATTTAAAACGCTGTACACGCGTTTAAGACGTCTATTCTGAAAAAAATATTCGAATTTTCCCACAAAATATGTATGAGTGATCAATTGAGTCACATTTTTATAATCGTATGAAGTTGATTAAATATTTAGGTTTGAAATTTTGGAAAATTTTGGAAAATCTCAACAACATTTATTGAAATATAAATTACAAAAATTAAAATGTGGCCCGATCGATCCTTCGTAGATATCACGGATAATTCGAATAAATCAGAATAAAAATCGTTATAAATATCGACAAGTATCGTTGGAAATATTAGAAACAGTATATATTGACAAAGAAATCTAGCATTTTTTTGAAAATAACTTTAAATACTTAAAGAATTACCATATCAAATATTTTATGAAATAATCCAACAGAATTTGCTGTTGTTGTAATTATCAGAATTTAATAACATATGGTACAAACTATTTATAGCTTATGATTTGTCTGATACATTTTTAGAAATATATTTTGTGAATTACTAAATAGTAACAATATGTAGAAAGAATTTATTTTTGCAAAAACATATTATTTGCAAAAGCAACTTTTATTCTAAAATTATCGATGATTTTTCAGATAATGTATAAAATATAAACTACTTACGAGAAACCTTGAATTAAATTTAGAAATTTATAAGTCATAGCTTCAAGAATTGAAAATTTGATACGTTTTTAAACACAAAATAGTTGATAATTTTTGTCAATTTTCTAATACTAAGGAATAATGAACACTTATAAAAAAATAATATGACTTTATACTTTTGATATTTTTGGGTAAATGAGAAACTTCGTGTTACGTTTTAATGTTTTTGAGTAATTCAATAAAATATATGTATCGATATTTAAAGAAATAAAAGTATTTAAATATATAGGTACTTATAAATAGCTCAAAAACATTTGAAATATTTTGAAAATGTTGTCACAATATTATACGGATAATGCAAATATAAAAATTTGGTGAAAATCTCATGTACGATGTACCTACCTCCAAATAAATAAGATAAACAATGAGTATTCATTTTTAAGTATGTAAAAAAAAAAAAAAAATTAATATAGATTTTCAACAACTGGTTTTATATATAAATTCCCGAATTCCATAATACATAGTTTTTAATTTTTCCAATTATTGAAAAACAGTGCTAAGTTATTTTACTTTTGACCTCCAAAGTCCAAAGTAATAACTAGATCCAATCTTCAATCAAAAACCTCCACTATAGTTAAAAAATCCAAGCATTGAAATTGCTCCAAAATGTGCAAATAAACAAAAAAAATAGACAAATCAATACTTTCATTACTAAACTCTTAATCTAAATTTGTATTACCTAATTTAGAACTAGCACAAAACTTATCATAAGTCACATTTACATCAAATCCGCTATACAAATACATTTCTCGACAAGTACTAGTGTTGATGTAAGGTAAAAATTGTTCTAATAACGCACTTTGTATGCCATTTTTCATTTCTCCCCAAACAACAATCTGTAAAAGTATGAAACAGTCGTAAACAATTATAAAAATGGTATAATATTAATATGCCTTTCTTAGCACTTACAATAAAAACAAAGGTACTCAATGAACTAATACGACGCATAAGGGATGTGCAAAGATATAAAGTTAGCCTAGTTTGTTAAATTACGAAGGACAAATTATTATATTGCAGAGTTCAATCTAAAATTTTTTTAAATTATTTTTTCGTTTTGTACGTTATTCAAAGCTAAGTAGTGACGAAAATGAACTTAAAATTTCCTAACACATAGAACTCTTCCATTTTGTCTAAAAATTTGACGGGTGAATTGTATTTTTTAGATCTTAATTTATAACTAATTATAGGTTGGATTTACCAAAGCTATCAGAAACATTAACTTTTGTTTTTAACATTTAACTTCCACCACTTAGTATAAATTTCCACTTTGCAGCGGACAAACATTTTAAATTATATTTTATGTATTTAACAAAATTACCAACTATGGCACAGTCAATTTACCTTTCCTTGAGCTCCATTTACTACATTGTATTCACTTTTCCAATCGACACAAACAGGTGTAACGCCATTACTAAACGAAACTTTGTTTGCTAACACAATGACAGCTATATCATTAGCATGTTTGTTAATCATTCCCCAATAACCATCATAATGGTAAATCGTTTTAACCTTTATAATTGTTTGAATTTATATTATGCAATATCAATAGATTTTAAGATTTAATTTAAAATTATTAATTACTTACATTTATTATTTGAGTAAAGTTGTTGTCGATAACAGTAAAATTTCTATCATATTTTCCAACAGAAACTTTAATTATACCATCGTTTATTGATATTTTTTTAGATCTCATCGTATCATATTGTCCAAAACAATGAGCCGCTAAAAATATTATTTTATTAATTCGCATTACTTCTTAAATATATTATACCAGTATTTTACCAGAAATTACTAAATTTGGTGCAATAATTGATCCTCCACATATCAAGTTATAATAGGAATCTGTTTTATTTAATTCATATATTCCAACGTACCAAGGTGTTGTTTCAACTGTTGCTTTATTCATACCTTGTCCGATTATTCCTTGGCTTTTTGCATTTACTCTACCGCAATCTTAAAGAATATTAGATGTAATATTAGAAGCTTTATTTTTAGATTAATATGCGTAACACTGGCATCTATCGGTTATTACACAAACACATAAATATATTAAATGTCATAAGGCTATTATTTGTTACCCATGGTGATATCGATTTCATACTCGTATCGATCACACAACGCTTTGGTCTCGTCTGCACCATCTGAACAATCCTTACGGCCATCACAAACTTTCGACGATTCGATACATATTCCATTTGGACATTTAAACTTATCTTCGGCGTTTCTACAATTTTATACAATTATGTAACAAGTTAGATATTATTTAATATTATTTATAAAATTGTAATATATATATGTATGTACGAAAACTAATCGAATTTTAAAAGGGCCGATATATATATCAAACAGTAATATTATTATATAGTTATGCCAAATCCACGTATGATATTATTACATAACTGCCATCAGTAAAAAATAAGGTTGAAAATGACAAAATTAGCACAAAAACGATTTGGCTGACGTATAGGTACTATAAAGTTTACTGAATTACAATAAATTACAGACAGGACAGTGGACGAAATGTTTTTATATGAAGTTAAGTATGTTGTCAGTTAGAAACCTATATAATATAATGTTTATACAATTTAAAATGAATAATATAAAATAGTTTCATTATCATAATAAACAGTTAAATTTCAGAACATAATAAAATATGTTATAATACAACAATATATTATGGCAAATTATGGAATGTCTTATGTGTCTTCAAATGTTTCATAAAAAATAATAAATAAGAGAATAGTAGTTAAAATTAGTTTTTTACACAGAAGTAGTTTAGAACATCCTAACCTTTGAGTGGCATTGTCACATACTTTTTTTTTAAGTTCCTATAGTATAGCAGAATATGGGAGAATCGTGATGTCATATTATTTGTAGTCAGAAATTAATATTAAATATAGCTCGTATATTGTTTTATGGTACTTATTAAAAGTTTGGCTTCAAGCCCTAAGCCTGCAACCATAGTTATTTTCATCACTTATAATAATATAATATGTATTTATACAACAATTACCAACATTGAGCAAGAACCATCATATGTTCTGTCACACAAAATTCCGGATCCTGAAACAAGGAATTAGTAAAATATATTAAATACGTCAACAATGTTTAGAGGAGTATTACTATAATATTGATTGTACTGAATTTGCGGTTTTGAATTCAATTATAACATAATATTATAAATACTAATATAAGATAATATTTTGTCATCTTATGTATCGTGCATTCCTGAGTGATATGTGCTATGGCAGTATTTCAGTTAACAATAGCGTGGATGCAATACAAGATTTGAAAAGTTAATGAAATGTAAAAAGGAAACCACAAGTAAGGTCTAACTCACAAGCATTTCACCAATTACAATATTTCTCTCAATACAATTGCTACCAATCTTATATTATTTATTATTATTGTTGTAATTTATTTATATTATTATTATTTATTTATTATTATACATCATTGAAAGACCAAATTAATTTATAGTGGTTTAGTAATACATTTTATGCACATACCAAATAACGAACGGCCAAAGCTTTTTTTTATGTTTGAATTTCATAACAATTAATAAGTGTTCATTTTTTTGTAAAAATTATTTCCCAGTTACTAGTTCCCAGACTCCCTACCTCTGAAGACTATAGAAGTCACTGAATCTTATGAGCCTTTGATATTAATTAATTTTTTTTTTAAATAAACATACAGTACCTATCGTATCTATTAAAAAAATGTATCTCTGGGCGGATATGCCATTTAAAAAGGGCCCCCAAATGAAAAAAACTCGCTTCGCTCCCAGGTACATTAACCAAATTTTTGTGAATTATATTAGATACCATATCAAAAGAAAACAATGTATAACAAAACACATTTTTAAAATCATTTATTTATATTTTAAAATAATAACAACCGTGAAAGGGATATGGTATTTTGTTCATTTAATTTATTACTTGTAATTTGAGCCAAGTTATAAAAATTAAACATGTACTTTTCGCCACCTCTAAAAATTCGTTTTGGTAATTTGCGCCACGACGGAAAACGAAATGGAATATGTAATCTGCGAAACACTTTCGATTTTAAGTGTTGGAATTTACCAGCAGATATATTTACTGACATCGCATCGAAAATACGATAATTCCAAAGCGTGCCGGATATAATATTATTGTTGTGTCCTACTAATAATAAATAGAGAAGAGATCGATTACGTCTAATCTAATAAAAATTATCAACTGTCAAAATATCGAACAATATTGAACAGCAGTATATCCAAGGGTCGGCATATACGAGTTAAAAATTTAAAGTTAAGTTAATTTTAACTTTAGTTTTTTAAATTTAATCACAAATGTACAATTATTAAAAACATAATATTATTAAATATTTTCGCCATAAATAAGTTATTTTTAATTAAAATTAATTAGGTTATTTCCTGTGTTCAATAATATTTATGATTTTTATTTTTTATTATTTTAAATCATATTAATGGGTATTTATAAAGATATTAAAAAAAATAATAATAATAAGTTACTTGAAAATGTTCATATAACTTTTAACATAACTGAGTTAAAAAAAAATTAGGTTAACTGTTAACTTTAAAAATTTAAAAATGTTTTCTATCAACTTAACTTAACTCAGTTATTATCATTAACTTGCTTGTAATTGTCTAGGTTTGAGTATATTATCATGATATGATTTACAATAATCCGATATTAATCGCAAAAATATTAATAATATATTTATTTTATATACATAGAGTACATATATACTTATTAGCATTTATTTATAATTACTTAATGCCCTTTTATTAAGTTTTGTGTAACGCAAATTACATAAATATTTTTTTGGAGGGGTTGTTTTTGGGGCAAATTACATACCCCCCCGTGACCACTAACCGCCGCCAACCGGTAATAGACGTTGTAGTAAGTTGTTGGTCGTAGGTGATAACAAATCTTTTGTAAAATAAAATGGAATAGTAATAACTAATAGATTTATAGATATAAGATTTTAATATAATATTTCAAATTTCTATTGTATTTATTTAATATTAATGAGTCATTGCGTTAAGCATAAAAAGGGCCCCATTGCCAAAATATGAAGTTGGGCCCACCGGGAAATGTCTGGTTTCTCGGTAGGCCTATTAGCCCATGTCTCTAAGCTTAACTTAATAAATTAACTAAAGATGAAAATGTCATAATTGGGTAGATTTTTTCTTTACTACACCTATACATAAATGAATCTACAATTTTTATTGTTTCAAACTATGTCGTACTAATTAATAATTATGTCATACAAAGTGATTGTATGTGTTACTTTTTATGACAAAAATTTAGCATTCAATAAAGAAATTATCAAAATTATAATATGTTATGTTATTATATTATATTTTATTTATTATTATATTATTTTGACTAAATTAAATCTTAGAAAATGAAATACTGTATTTGTATTTATATTATTCGGTTTGAAATTAAATTTTGTTTTAACAGTAAAATGGCCAATTATTGTTTTAGAAAAATGTCTGGTTATATATTATATCGTAATATTGTATTCAAAACTCTTCAATGTAGATGAATTTATTTTTCAATTGTATAGACTATAGTGTATTTAATATTAAATATAATACATATTGTACTAAGTACATAACATCATTAAAACATGATTTACTATTTATAATTATATTGTTAACAGTGATATTACGTACCGAAACATAAAAATGAATACATTATCCAGTTATATGTCAACTTCATTGTCAATGGTGATTAAAGCAAATATATTTTAAAATATAAAGCTAACCATAAATGTTTATACATTTAATTATATAAATTAAATATCACTGTCATCACTATACACTAAACAATATTTTATTGTACATTTTCTAACATTTAGTTAGAGCAAAACATTCTATATTAAACACGGACAACATCTGCAGTAATTTCATAATGTTTACTACAGCACTACAGTTCTATACAGATAACATCGGGTCTTCGCGAAATCTAAACTACTATATTGCATGGATATTGGATGCTGAAAATATGTAGTCGGTTTGTTATTATTTAAGTACATTTTACTATATGAGGCCACGTCATGACCGAAGGGCATACTACTACGTAGATAGACGGCAATGAAAAAATTATGAGTTACTAACTTGTTTTAAAATTGATTTTTAGATTCTACCACTACGTCAAATACATACCTACACCTAATGGTTTTTCTACGTATCTACCTAACGTTAATACTTGCCAACTTATTCAGACTAATAACGACTAATATATTTATGTATAATATTTCATGCAGACTATATTATATTATATAAACACATTATGTACAATTATTGTATACTTAAATAAATATATAATAATGATTTTACATCGTTTGATTATTTGTTATATCTAAGAATCATTATATAATGCTGTACAAATACACATTTTTTTCTTAAATTACAAGCAGTCGTGAATATGCAAAATTTAGAATCAATTTATATTCCTTTATTATACAGTAACAGCACAATGATCTCCATTATCTAGAATATTGAAGATCGAACAAACAATTTAATATGTACTTAATATTGTAAACTTTAACACCTATACTAAGCATAATATAGATAGATTATATTAAATACCCATAATATTATATTATATCGGGGGTAACGAATAATTGGAGAGACACGTACCAAAGAGTATCACCCCGGTTTGCATAACAGGTTCTAGACGTTCTAGTGTACACATACATTTAGATTTTAGTAATATTCTTTGTTCATAAAATATAATATTAGGTATATTAAGTATTGCATTCATACGGATGCTTTTAATTTCGCATTTCAATATTTAACTATCACTTATCAGTTAGTATTTACAAAAACCTTGATGACTGTTCCCATTTTCGTGTCGGATATTTGGACAGTGTTGTGACTACCATTTTATTTTTAACAATCCACTATTTAAATTATACAGTATCACTGATGATCTTCTTCTGTAACTTACAGTTAACTTAGCACAATGGCTGGCATTAGGCTGGCGTATCATGTTGTCTTGTGTTGTAAAGAGTTTGTGTATCTATTTAAAAAGCCACTTAAATAATTTAAATTTCAGCAATTAAAATAAATTAGCAACACATTTTTACGTATTTTCTATCACAACATTATAACACCTTTGATAGATGTTTCTTGTACATATCTCAAATGGTATTATTTTGTTCCGAAGTATTTCAATATTTTAAAAATCCGGTACACTATCTACGACGTATTCAATATTCATATCATACGGCGAAGTAAATAGACTAGTTAGTTAGGGCCGGTGGTTTTGGTTATTTTTCCAATATCTTATTTTATCTATTATTACTGTAAGATAAAATAATATAATTACAAGATAGTTGCATAAAGATGTTTTTGCTTCTGCACGGAGTTGCCAGTGAAAAATTAAGCTGCAAGGGATTTATTTCTACTTAAACTCTATTTTACTTAAACTACACAGCACTTATTAACACTATTATTTGATTGTTTTGAATGTTTTGATCATATATTATAAAGTACGAGTCTAAAACTATTTTCAATCATTATAACTATTTTATTTACCGGGCAATAAAATATCTTCGAAATCCCTGTGGTGAAATTTCATTTATTTTCCTATTAATAATACAATAAGTTGGATCAGCAACAATTTAACAAAAAAATAAAATATAAAAATCGTAATTGTTTTATGCTTATTATTAATAGCTTGTTGGGAACAACTGCCCGTATGCTATACGCAGTATGAGATATAGTAATAGTATAATAATATAGTATAGTAGGTACTATAGTGTGTACGCATATTAATATGTGAACAGGCAGAGTGACACAGTCATACGGTCTTAGGGAATTCGCTGTGTGGACAGTTTTGAGCTCAAGCGAGCCCCTACCGTGCCTCGCTGTCTGTGTATTAGTCAGTGTAGTACTGGCAGACCATCGAGCAAAGCCTCTGTTTTTTTCTTAAGTCTAATAAGTATTCTTTACAACTAGATTTCTTTTAAAATTGATTATATTAATAAAGTATAAGTGATAACTCAAACACCTCGTATATATTTACTAACGAACAATTGATTTAGTTAAACATTAGTTTTGCTCACAAAATCACACTTTCCTTAAATTCTTTTAAGAATTGACTATTAAGAGTTTTCAATTTTGATCTCTTAAAAGTATTAACTACATTTAATTGTCCACATAAAAGATATTGAAGTAGAAAATCAAAGTATATTTTCTAATAGAAAAACCGTTAAAAAAAAAAAAAAATAACAAAATATAATAAACACATTTTTTATGTGGTCTGTATCAACTGAGTTTTAAGAACTGTTAAACATTATTAGACATAAGTTAAAACCTACTTATACAAATATTATTTTATTTACAATTAGAATAAATTATTTTTATGGCATTACCAAAATCCTACTGTTCTTAATTATATTTGTTATACAATCCACGAATCCATGAAATGTGATGCTTTACTTCTGTAAAAGCAGCAATTGAATTTGTTGTATTTGGATCCTTTGTACTGACTATCCCGGTTAAATAATAAGAATTAGAGTGTACAAAGCATAAGCCTGCACCACTATCTCCCTTACTAACCCCTTGTCCTGAAACTAAATAATATATTTTCTACATTAGACACAAATATAATAGTACCTAATTAATAAACATACATCTGTTATTGGGTACGTAGTGGTTCAATACAGATTAACATTGGGTATTAATTACAGAAGGAAATTATCAAATAATGGGTATGTGTGATATAGTACTTATAAAACAAAGCAAATGTGGCTATCAACTATGAAAGTATAAGATTTAGTTTTGAAAACTTAATCGATTTCAAACCATAGTTATTATTGTTTAATTATTTGGAAATTTATATTATAATACAGCGTGGTTAACAAATCTTTTGGGAAACTGGTGGTAGTCTGCTCGCGGTCCTTCCTTTATGCGTTAAAAAACCTATAATATGACAGCTTGATTGCAAGAAATTCCATTTTTACACAACTAACACTTCTACCAATACACTGTTACCCAGCCAACACACTGCAGTACTACACAGTAAGATAAAAAAAGGTAGGTACTTTTCTGGACCAAAGGACTCTACGTGTAGGGGGGGATGTCCTTAGGATGTACCACTTCAACATCGAGGGATGGAATAGTGAATAGTTATTAGTTAGGAAGAATCTGCATACAAGGACTGGAACCTTGATGATTTTTACGATCGAGTTCTGGTTCGGTTCCTAGAAGAACTAACATTTTGGTTTCAGTTCCTTTTCGATTTAAAAAGAAAAAGAAAAATAAGGATTTGGATTATTTTGGTTCTTAAAAAAGAAAATTTCGTTACCTGTTTCGGTTTTATACTTATGTATACGTAAAAGTATTGATTTTGGTTTAAATTAATTTAAATAATGGGTCAGGTTAGTAACAATAAGTTAATATTCCCGGAATAATTAAATTTTGTATATTATGGATCAAGTTGGCGTCAAGTGATTATAGTTATACACTTATATACCTTGTGCGGCAAATCAACGTACACTCACGCCACGCAGTGTATATGTATACTAGTTTGTTTGATGGATTTGTAAAAATATATTTTGTATTATTATACAAGTTGTAAAATTTAATTTATTAATTAAATACAAAATTAAGTTAACCTTCATATTCAATAGTTACCTAATGCAGAACCAGCACAAAACTTATCAACCGTCACAAATAATTCAAATCCGTTTGTATACATATCTCGACAAGTGCTATGATCAATGTATGGTAAAGATGCTTCTAATAATACAGGACTTGAAATGCCTTTTTCAGTTTTTCCCCAACCGACGATCTGTAAAAGTATAAAACAGTTTTATAATGTAAAATTATAATTATCGTATAATATTTATAATTTTTTTATGTGCGTGTTATTAATGAGTATAATTACTAATTAGTTTAGTTATAAAGACTGACTGATCAATATTTTTACATTTTGATATTCGATTGAATTTGAAATAAAATGATTAACAAAAATTATGAATGGTCTTATAATTTGAATTTAAAGAATTTCTTTTAGTAATCCACATCATAGTTAAGCAAAGACTCTCACGGTATTTGTTTTTGCTATTGCGATAAATATAACTCTCTAGTGACAGGCACAATAATAAACTCTAATTAAATGACAAATTTAATATGTTATGATATATAAATAATATATAAATATCATATTTAATTATATATTAATTATACTTTTCAAACGACATTTAAATTTAAAGATCATATGCATTATAATTATACATATTATTCAGACAACATTTAAAAAATTAAAAGAAGAAATCAAATTATATTCATTACAATAGATTATTATAGTTCACGTCAATTTATATAATAACTTTAATTAATGACATTTAGAATTAAGGCTATAAATGTAATATTACATCAGATACAATTACACTTACACACGCACACACACACAAAATATCACATATAAGGATTCTGGTCAATACCTATCCCTTGGGCAGTGTTTTTCCGACCACGAATGAAAACGTGTTATTAAAAAAGCGAGTTTGAAGACTACGAAGACAATCTATGTTAATTTGTTAATATATAACATAATTTCGTAGTTAGGTACCTACCTATATCTTCACACTCTCAAAATCATTAAAAATATTTAAATAATACTTTACACCGACCTTTCCTTGATCTCCATTGACTACATTGTATTTACCATTCCAATCAACACAAACAGGTGAAACACCATTACTAAAA